GCGCTCTGGACTGGATTCGGGGACTGGAGCCCTCTCCTCTTTGCTTTGGCACTTTCGTCGCGTCATACTCAGCTCACCCTCAGCCGCGGTGCAGGGGGCGGAGCTCCTCTCCGCGCTCACACCGTCCGCGGCTTTCTCCCTCGTGGCGGGCATTGTCGCCGGCTCTCGCACCTGGTCTGACGGCTTGGGCTCTACTTCCGGGGCGATCCTCCGCTCAGTCGCTCAGCATTGTGCGGGCTCGTCGATCGCGGCAGAATTGGCTCTCCATCATCGGTGGGCTCTGGCTTTAGCTCCGCACAGCGGGGAGATGGTGGGCTGACGAGATCATCCACGGGGCAGGATGGCGATCCGTTTCTCACCAGAGTCCACTCTACGAAGGCAGCGAATTCTGCTCGAAGACCATCTTCGGACTATGGCGCTCTGCACGCGGTGTTCAGGCTAGCATCATAGAACGCGCAGAGCGATTCGTCCGGGTAGCTGGTAAGTTCGGAGAGGGCCAGAAACAGTCTGGTATGGTCCTTGAGCGAGTGCTCCCCCTGCTCCAGCAGGAGGAGGAGGAATTCGGGGTGAAGGAGGGGATCCATAGAAACACAACGGAAACAAAACACTGAGGGAAAAAACACGGAAACAAAAATGGAGGGTAGACACACAGAGGTTACTGTTTTAGGTCGGTTCTTCTGTCACGATCTGTGCTGGGAGGAGCGCAGAACGAGGAACAAGGAGACGTGGAGTACATAAAAAGTCTTTAATCCTTGGAAACACAGGGGAATTATACAACATCCAATGAGTAGAACCGACAAAGGAAGACTGAACAAACAGGAACTTAAATACAAGGGATAATTACTCAACACAGGTGTCAGGAATCATAATCAAACTAAACGAGAACAGGAACATGACCAAATAAGGAAAAACAGGAACAGAAACAGGGGTAAAACACGACACAGAACAGTCCAGAATCCTGACACATGGATTATCCCTTACATATAGGAAATAACTGAAATTCTGTAAGTGTCCATAAGGATGAAGCGTACAAGCTTGTACAGTATGGACATTAAAATGCTGGATGTATAATGGAAATGTGATATTGTTATTTGTTTAGGTAAGATCTGTCCACCTCCTCCGTATCTTCAAAATGGAGACTACAGCATCGACAGTACAAAAGATGAAGTGATCACAGCAGTATCTTACACTTGCCAGTCTTACTATGTAATTACCAAGCAACAGGACGTTTATAAGTGTGTGGATGGGAAATGGGAGACTCCTCCGAAATGCCTGAGTGAGTAATTTTTGTCATTTTAATTTGTAATTGTTTTGTACTGTTTTTAATGTTATGTTTATGTTTGTCTCTGTCGTAGGACCTTGTGAAATTGATGATATTGTCGAGAAGTACAATCTACAGCTTCCTACAGAAAAGGTCTACATAAGGCATGCTGAAAAGTATACACTTAACTGTAGAGATGGATGGAATACTGGAAGTGAGCTGAAACCGTATGTGGATGTGTCGTGCTCCAACGGGAATCTACAGATTGACAAAAGTTGTGAGTATTATTTCGTTTTCAGAACCTGAATTAGTCATATTGGTGATCTATACAATTATTGATTTATTATTTATTTGGTTGTTTCTTTAGGTAACTAGGTATAAACTGGAGTGGTGATTGAGGTACCCCATTCAGTAAAAATGACAAATTTATTTTTATACAAAAGAGGACATCCCTAAAAGGAGGTCTCGAGAGATTCTGTCAGGTTTAGCTCACTTCTGGTACAAATATGCCCCATAATATAGTTAAGTATGTACACACACAAACTTGTACATATATCCCATTCAGCTACAAATGTAAAAATTATTTTTTTATATGTATTATCTCGCAGAAAATGGATTTCTTTGTATTTCTTATCTATGTCAACATTCCTTCAACAACCTTTTTTTTTTTGATTAAAAAAAATGTAATAATTAGGCTGACTTTGGTGTGGATTTTAGTTCAACATATTGCTCACATTGTATTTTATTAAAGCAAAACATATTTTGCTCACAATTTTGAACCAAAGTGACATACTCATGACCGTCTTCTGTGGAATACCATCTATCCATTCATCGCCATAACTGTTTATCCTCTGTAAGGTTCTGGGTTGCTTTGTGTGAAAAACAGAATGAAATTAAAATAGTTTTTCCCTTAAAATATTGTTTTCCCCCATTTTAAATCTGGCACACATGAGAGAATGTCTGTTCATTTGCATTTCTTCTGTTAGAGGTGTTCAAATCTAACACCTTGACAGAAGATGAGAGAGCCAATGAGGTCTGTGTACAGTTTTTTCTCCTCCTTATTGAGTGTGTTCACTTCAAATGACTTGAAATAACGCACACACATCATTTGGACTATTATGTGACATTGGGAGCTTAAAGGAATATTTAACACCAAAATAAAAATGTACTCACTCTTAGGCCATCCAAGATGTAGATGAGTTTGTTTCTTCATCAGAACAGATTTGGAGAAATTTAGCATTACATGACTTGCTTACCAACGGATCCTCTGCAGTGAATGGGTGCCATCAGAATGAGAGTCCAAACAGTTGATAAAAACATCACAATAATCCACAAGTAATCCACATGACTCCAGTCCATCAGTTAACATCTTGTGAAGTGAAAAGCTGCATGTTTGTAAGAAACAAAACCATCGTTAAGATATTTTTAAACTTCAAACTATTGCTTCCACCTAAATATGAGTCCTCTATTTATAATATTGCTTTCTCCTGTGAAAAAGTTGTCTAATCTGAATCAGAAGAGAAATTAACACCACACTAGTTTCACGTCTCTCCTATCACACCACAGACTGGATCTCTTGTAAATGTTACTCTTGCACCTCAGTTATCAAGTTCAGTGAAAATGTTTTCAGAGAACTCGAGTAAATATACCGTTGTAATATTATTGCCGTTTTTTATGTGTTGGTAGGCCATTTTTTGTACATTGTAATAGAATATATATGCTGTGAGATGACAAACTATCAATATTTTGATATTTTAACTAATCAATATTTTATGTCCACATATTTATTTGGCAAGTGGCCATGCAATAAGAGGAATAATATACAGTGAATCAGTCATTTTCACAAAATGAACTAACAGTAAATGATTGATCACCCTGTAATTATTATTATTATTATTATTATTACAACACTGAAAGGTTAGCCTAATGAAACTCACAGTACAATGTAGGTGTAACACGTATATTCTGTTCTGTTTTGGTTTAGTTTCTCTGTGTTCCCGTTTGCCTGAGTTTCCTAGTTTGTTTCCATGGTTTCTGATTAATTAGCTCCTCACCTGTTTCTGTTCTTACTGATTACTCCATGCTGTTACGGGGCTGAGAAGACGTGAGACGTGCGGATCCATGTGCAAGCTTTATTAAAAGCAGAGGAGGTCAGAAACACAGGCAGGGTCGAACAGTGGCAAACAGGTATATGGCGGGCAAGACACAAGAATAGTCCTAGGGCTAGCGTAGGTCAACGATCGGCGAACAGA